CTGAGAATTTTATGAAAAATCTTGGCAAAGTCATTCGATGTTCTCTTATCGAGAGGAAAGATTGGAAATTTGAAATGCTTAAAATGTTGATGAATTATCGTGCTACCTCTCGCCCGTCAACTGGCAAAACACCAGCTGAATTAATGTTTGGTCGCCAAATCAAAGTAAAATTACCTGATTTCGAACTGCGAGATTCTGATAAATTTAGTATCGAAAACGAGGAAAGACGAATGCATAATAAAAGCATGCTAAAAAACAAACGTTGCCACAGCAGAGTTAAATTCACAAAGTTCAAAGAAGGAGAGAGAGTATTGTGTCAGAAACACAAGACGAACAAAATATGAACCACGTTATAGGAAAGAAATATTTGAAATTGATAATGTGAAAGGAAGCACGACAAATAAACAAGGTAAAAATATAACGTGTGATAAATCGCATTTGAAAACTTACCATGGTTGTGATAATAGTAATATTAATATAAATGAGTTTGATGAAGATCTTGAAATTGAAAGAATTCTGCGAGAAATGGCCGATTGTAAAGCTAATTTTACGCCTGCACAGAAAGACATTTCACAATCACCACACGCATTAAGTACGCAACAAAACACCGATTCCACACCACAAGTAGACACACACACTGAAGAAGAACCAATCGTACTTAGAAGGTCTGGGAGAAGTAGGAAACCCAATGTTAAACCTGATTATTTATACTATTGAATTCAAATGACTATGTATCATGGAATTGTATTTAAATGTATGTTTTGAATATAATAATCTATAAATTTAAAATAAATAAATATTATAAAATGAAATAAAAAAAAATATATATGTAATTTGTGTATAACGTTAATGTATCGCATTAAGAAAATTGAGTATCAAATGTCATGTATATTTCAGATTTACAAGTCTTATTCTAAGGTGAAGGGAAATGTAGTGATCTAGTTTACATATGAATGGCATTCCCACCTGAATGAATTGTATGCATAAATTAAGAACCAATATAAGTAATTGAATAAACTTGAACTGGTGTTCATTTGATATTAAGCCAACTGTGTGTATGTGTGTTTCCTTTATGCTTTGCCACCATGTGCCCGCTCCACGAGGATAATACAGTGGTAAATAAGTCGTATGCGACACCATTATTACAGTCGTTTCCACCAAACCTTGAATGTTGACTTTGTATAAAATGTTAACACACTTGTAAAGTTGTTTTGTAACATTGCTAGTAAATATTTACAAGTTGCTCCAGATATCAAAGTTGCGGTAAAAATCAAAGAGTTGTTTATATTATAAACCAGACAGCGGTCTTCACTGTAGCCACACCAAATCCAAAAGAGACGACTAGAACACGTGGTTGGTAAATGCTAAAAGAAGCATTTTATTTTGCCAGTATCAATCTAAAAATCTGGCAGAATACCTGTTCAAAATGGAGTTTATTTGCTACTCTGAAGCTAGAATAGTACCTGTATTTATTAGAGAAGACGATTTTCATCAAATGAGTTACGAAGATTTTACGAACAGGTTGACCCGTGACACGACTTTTCTACATCCATTGACAGAACTACAAACAACCTAAATTAAGTTACACTGATGTTTCTGTGGAGGAAAATAAAGATTTGCAGTCGTATTTTGATGTTGTTTTATAAGGCCAGTTTGCAATCATGACGGCTTTATAATTTATTTTTCTTTACAACAGAAAATCAAAGAAAGCTTAGAAAGAACTCCCATGTGCTGTGAGTATTGGAGACTCGTTAAATATAATTCAAAATTACTTGTACTTGATTGAGATAGTGATGGAAAAGCTGAAAACTAATAATGCAAATCAGAAAATTAATATGACAAACCGATATGAACAGATTTGAGTGTAAAACTAATGAGGCCTGCGCAATGTAATAGACCATCTATGTACCAAGTTTTATTGAAATGTGATTAGAACCCCAAAAAATTATGAATTATTATGCTAATTAGGGAAATAATATAAACAGTATTTAACCCCAAACTAATCATGTTTGTACATTGTCCTAGAGCATCTTTGTACTAAGTTTCATTGAAATGGAATAATTAGTACTTTAGATATCAGTGTGATAGCTTAAAAGTGGTTAATTATGCAAATTAGTAATTAATATGTACAGATTTTAACCCACAATTATCCAGGTCTGTCTATTGTCCTACAGCATCCATGTACAAAGTTTCATTGAAATGTAATGATTAGTACTTGAGAAATCAGTGTGAAAGGTGAAAATTAATTAATTATGCAAATTAGGTAATTAATATGCACAATTATTTTCCCTAAAACTAATCAGGTCTCTGGATAGTCCTAAAGGATCTATGCACCAAGTTTCATTGAAATGTGATGATTAGTACTTGAGATATGTGGAAAAGCTGAAAATTAACTAATTATGCAAATTAGGTAATTAATATGCACAAATAATTATTCAAAAACAATCAATCTCTGCATAGTCCTTGAGTATCTATGTACCAAGTTTCATTGAAATGTAATGCTTACTACTTGAAACACAAGTTCAGAGCATCTATACATTGGCCCTCATGGACAAGGTAAATTACTTGCGGATATACGATTGTTGAAAATTGCTTTGGATAGTAAGATTCTCAGGCAAAATATGAATGATGCTGTGCAGTTTCCTAAACTTATGCAGGCAGCAAAATTGAAAACTCACATTTATAGAAATACTCATGAAGACGACTCTTCCAGCAGTGACCAAATGGAGGTGTTTCGCAAAGTTAGGAAAATGTCCCCCGTACCTGAAACTCCGGCACAACGTTCAGCTGAACCTAACAAATGGCAAACACCAAATTGGCAAGATGCACATTAACGGGTTATGTCATGCATATAGTTTACACAAGGAGAAAACACCAAATTGGCAATATTATTGACAATTGTGACTCAATAATAGAAATACTAGTATGTTGTATATCTTTATATATACATACTAGATAGTCTCATCAAATGCAACGACAACCAGTCAGTCCATCCTGGTCTTGTGGGTCAGTTGTCTACATACAGTACTCATTTCGCCCAACCTCCTGCCCGCTTCTGGATTTCCATTGCTTTTTTTTCACTCTCTTTGTTCAATTCGAACGGACAATTCCCGTTTTTTTTTTTGATCGCACAAATCCGGAAATATCTTCTTGCTTGCTCACCTGACAGCGCAACCGCCCGCATTTACAGTTCATTAACTATTGTTTTATGTACAAGTGTATCATTTTTGATTTTTATGATGTTAAAAGAAGAATAAATACAATCAGAAATTTATAGAACGTCCATTGAAAAAATACGGTGGATCACACTGCCATATAAAATTTTTAATACATACGCGTAGTAATATTGTCCACCATAAACAAGATCGGACCAAACATGTGAAATCAAATACGGCACTGACACAACTTATGTGAAACAAGCCATGCATGGCACAGTCCCCGTTAGTTATCAAATTTAAGATATATAGTTATGTTCATAGTAATATAGCTGGAATATAACCATGTCAGGAATATGATTTTTTTAACATTAAAATGATTGACATCTGTATCTGATCGTCAAACAAGTACTTGTTCATATTGAGAGATATTGCTCTGGAACAGCATTCAAAATCAGCCATTTTGAATACATATATATATATATATATATATATATATATATATATATATATAATAACATGATGTATAACGAATATATAAAATTTGAATATAATCAGTCAAAGGATTTAAGAGATATGGCTCGAGAAGCCCAATCATTAAAACAAAATGGCCGCCAGTCAGCTATTTTGAATCCAATCTGAAAAATAAAAAGACATGGTGGAGAGCAAAAAATGTCTACTGTATTCTTCGAGTAACCATGTATAAGGTGACGGTTGACATGCAGGCATGGTTTGAGTTTAACACGAGTCAAGATGTAGTTATGTAAATCCATGGCACCTATAAAAATTGAAGAATATCTGCAGGAATAGTAAGACTGTGGAAACAAAATCGATCAATCGATTGTTATTTAATGACCGTACTGTACAATTTGTCAAACAAATACAATACTTGCAAATAAAATCTTACTTGTCCGAAGTTGTAGAAGCCGACATCAATGGAGATCGAGTTTTTTAACTTATTGAATAACAATTATGGTTTTTATTTTTGCGTCCAATGTCTCGTTATAAAACAAAGGATTCAAATTTTGCAGGGTATACAGTTTTGCGAACTCTGGGCGAAATACTTTCATGAACTGTACGTAGTTCACTTAAAGCCAAAACAAAGTCAGCCACGCCAACCCACCCACCCAAATACCCACCCCACACCCGCGCACACGCCCAAATATATGAATGAATTGAATATCCATCTTTTGAAAAATCAGCTAAACAGTTCACCACGATTATGGTGAATTGGCAAGTTATCAACGAAGACGACATCTCCGGTCATGAGCAGGGTTTGCCGCATCTTGGAAAAATTATAAATTTAAAAGAGATATGGCTCTAGAAGCCCAATCATTGAAACAAAATGGCCGCCAGTCATCCATTTTGAATCCAATCTGAAAAATAAAATGATGTACATCAGGAACCCCTAATGTCTAATGTATGTACCAAGTTTGAGCGAAATCCATCCAGAAATGCTTGATATTTGATGATTTTTTAGCACAAAAATGACCACCATTTGGCCATTTTTAATAGGATTGTCAAACCAATATATCCATTTGTCTATGACATGTATAATGAATATTAAAAATTTGAATATAATCAGTCAAAACAAGTCGGAGATATGCCTCTAGAAGCCCATTCATTAAAACAAAATGGCCGCCAGAATGGCTGCATTTTGAATGGCTGCATTTCGAATCTGATCTGAAAAATAAAATTATTTGCATCAAGGTCCCATAATGTCTAACGTATATACCAAGTTTGAATATCTGTAAACAGCCGAGAAATGCTTGATTTTGATGATTTTTAGCACAAAAATGGCCGCCATTCGGCCATCTTGAATCAGATCGTGAAACAAATTGACATGCATGTAAAATCGTGAGACAGAAATTAATACAATGGTGGGAACACAAACTTGAGCTTCATTTATTCACTGCATGAACATGGCAGCCATATTGTAAACACTGTCCTACATATTGCCTGTGAGGGCGCACTTCACAAATAACAATTACATGAATATAAATGTGTACTAGTATAGTGGACATTACATCGCATATGTTTAATATCATGCATGATGTACGTGTGAAGTTTGATTGTGATTGGTCCAGGCATTTCTAAAATACAGGTCCGCACGGACGCACAGACGCACACACACGGACAGACCGTTTTCGGACTGCATAATTAGCATAACATAAAGTCTAGGTACGTCTTCTGAAACTTTGCCCTCAGCATTCAGTTTGAGACTATCCCGGGTAAAATCACGATCTTTGTGTCGATTGGTTATCGTTATATTCCCAATATAAACAAGTCTTTGATTTTACCGCAACTTTGATAATATCTGGAGCAACTTGTAAACATTTACTCGCAATGTTACAAAACAACTTTAGTAGTGTGTTAACATTTTATACAAAGTCAACGTTCGAGGTTTGGTGGAAACTACTGTAATCATTACTGTGTATGACTGGAAGGTTAACACATTAGTTAGTGATGTGGACCTCCTAAACATGAAGATTATATACTACACTGCCTAAAATGTAATAAAGACTGAATGATTAGTCATATGAATATCTCTTGTTACTTGCCAATTTCTGGAGCATCTTTGATAATCCCAATATTATCTCTCAACCATCGAACACATGCACCAGCTATTGCGATAGAACCCTGCAAATCAATGCCAGCTACATCAATAGAAGTATTATATAAACTTTCATGGGACCTCAGGTTCAAGCAAGTCACATCAAAATGCAATACAGTACATATTGATGAAATAAATTTGATAACATTTGATTAATTTAACTACAAATTAAAAATATTTTTATACCAGCTAGAAGAAAGAAATATTTAAAATTTAAACAATAAGCTTGTCAAAAATATTCTGTTCACATCCACAGTATTGACATTTATAAAACTAACAGAAAATGCTGAAAATGTTAAAACAAAATTTTTGGTTTTGAGATAACAGAACACCTGAAAATTGGAGAAATTATGTAAATTGGTTAATATTCCCTAGCCTATCATATCGCAAGTTTCATTGAAAACAGCTCTTGTTTGAGTGTCAACAACAAATTCAACTTGTTCTTTGTAGTATTTACTCATATTGGTAATATGAGAGATATTTTGACAGAAAGCTGAGCTAGCTTTATACCAGCTAAAAGGTAGGT